GATTCCGGGATTCTGAACATTTGAAAATTTTCGAATTTTCGAAAATTCTGAGTTCATGAAATTTTAGAAATTTAGGTTTTTTGGAAGTTCTGAGATTTTGAAATCCTGAAATTCTGAGAATTTTAAACTCTGAAATTCTGATATTTTGAAATTCTGAAATTCCGAGGTTCAGAGATTCCGTGGTTCTGAAAACTCATTTTTTCCCATTTTCAGCTCGAAACGCTCATTCAAAAAACGTCAAAACGAGTTCTGGCCAATTTCCTCATTATCAATTACATCGATTTATTCNNTAAGAGTCCACGTTTTATTGAATAGACAGTAACCAAACTAATGGAACCTCAACTCACCCCTTTCCCAAAATCTGGATCATCATAATTATTATACTGATCTATCAAACATTCCATTCGCCTCTTATATTCCTCCGAATCTTCTTTCTGCCACCAATTCTTCCTTTTTCCGTTTTCATTGAAACCACTTCTCATTTCATCAAATCCGTGACCTATTTCATGAGCCAGTACACTTCCCGTCCCAGCCATTATAGCGTATTTCGGATAAGTGGAATCGAAAAGAGGATCGTCCATGAATGGGACCATGATCACTAGAAATCAAGTTATGGACCGGAAAAGAGTCCTGAACTCACTCAAGTAGTTTTGCAACATAGAATATCTAGCATTGGTCTCCAAAAGATTATTTGAAGGATCCAGTAAAGTTTCCAACGCCACGAAATTCATCGTCATTTCTCCACGAAGTCTATCGATTTTCCTCTGCATCGTGTAGAATGAATCAGTCGGCAGCAAGTTTAGATTTTCATAAATTTCATCGAGATTCTCAAACTCTTCCGGGTACCCAATCGTCTTTTTCATTTTTTGTAATTTCTGAATTCCAGCTTTTTTAGTTTTTTCATGAAGCCACGTGGATTCCTGAATCATTTCTTCAAAACTATCTTTAATTTCTTCCACCAAATCCGAGACGATTTGAATATTTTCTCGATCAAAATGATTTTTCACAATCACTGAAAAGCCGGCTTCTGGAAGATTATCAGTGGCCATCTGAAAATATTTTTTAATTGAAGAGAATTCCTAAAAATGATTTTTAGACCTCATCACAGTTCCCAATGTTAAATTGATTTTTGAAACTGGAAGCGGATGAATCAATGAAATGGAAAATTAGGAAATTGGCCAGAACTCGTTTTGGCGTTGTTTGAATGATTGTGTCGAGCTGAAAAAAAATAATAATTTTCCAAAATTTCAGAATTTCAGAATTTCAGAATTTCAGATATTCAGAATTTCAGTATTTCAGAACTCCGGATTTTCAGAATTTCAGAATTTCAGAATTTCAGAATTTCAGAATTTCAGAATTTCAGAATTTCAGAATTTCAGAATTTCAGAATTTCAGAATTTCAGAATTTCAGAATTTCAGAATTTCAGAATTTCAGAATTTCAGAATTTCAGAATTTCAGATATTCAGAATTTCAGAATATCAGAATTTCGGAATTTCTGAATTTCGGAATTTCTGAATTTCAGAACTTCAAACTCACACTTTCATTCTTCCCAAAGAAAAAGTTAGTTTTATGAATGACAGTTCTACTTTTCACCATCTCCATCGCATTCTTATTTCCCGAATCCACCAAATTTTCTAGAATTTTCTCAAAATCGATACTCGGAAATTGGTCCTTCACGACTTGTTCCTTAATACTAATTTGGTCTACTTCCATCGGATTTTCTATTGGGAACTGAAAAAATACATTTTAAATTTTGACCCGAATTTTTCGAAAATCTAACTTCTCGAAGTTTCCTGTACAATTTCAAAAAATCGTCAAAATCCTTGTTAACAGTTTCATCATCAAATGGTATGCCATTTTCTTCGAGAACTCTTTTAATTCCCTAAAATTTTTTTGAAATTTTTTTGTTGATATTTTTCACTTTTTAAATCAAAAAATAAATCACCTTGTCTCTTAATCTTAGATCATATGCGCCTCCATCCGTAATTGGAGCAACTACCATCCATGGAGCACCAGGGTTGATTAATGTGAAAAGTCCATTTTCATAAGTCCCCAGTTTTGCCAAGTTAATTAGCGTTTCTGAAATCAAATTTTAATTAATTCTTTCTACAAAAAAGTCATGAAAACCATTCAAATCGAATTTCGACTCATCCCATTCCAAAAGTGGCCAAGACCCAATTGATTTTATATCGGCCAAAAGGTCCTGGAAGGTTTGTTCCAGATTTTCTTCAAAATCCTGAAATATTTTTTTTGGTTATTCGCTTCTGAAATTCTGTACTACATCTTCAGAAGTTTTGATAGATTCACACTTTTGATAAAACATTTTCAGCGACTTTTCAGCAATCGAATCGGTAGGCTCATTTTTGATGAGGTGTTCTGAAAAAGTACTAAACAATTTTTTTCAAAAAAATGTTCGAAAAATACCTTTAATCAAGCTATTGATAATTTTGGATTTTTTCGAACTAATGGTCCCTTCGATTACAGTATGCTCGATGTATTTTCCACATGAATGTTTATAGAAATCCACGCATGGATCGATTTTCGGGTCTTGCCAATTGTGCTGAAAATATTTTCTTCATTTTAAAGAATTTTGAAAAAATAGAAAATACAAAAATTCAAAAAGATCGTGAAATTCAGAATACCCGTAAAAATGAAAGTGTTCAAAATATCAGAAAATTTCAAATCGGAAATTGTTAAAAAACCCAGGAAAATGAAATTACGTCTCAGAAAGTTTGAAGAATTAAAAGTCAGATAAATGTTGGAAATATGAACACCTTTCAAATGTAAGAATTTGAAAAATCTTGAGCATCGGATTTTGAAAACTTCCAAGTTTTTTTTAGTTCCATAAGCCCTGTATTAGAAGGACCTTATGATAAAAGAGCCCTTGTAATAGAAGAGTCCCTCTTATGAAGCGTCTCTGTAATACAGGGGCCGGCCCTTCTAAAACAGGTTTTACAGTAGTAATGAATTTGATATTTCTAGAATTCAGAATATCTTACTATTCAGAAGTTTTGACCTACCAACTGTTGTGCCAAAGTGATACATTCTGGAGATTCACAAACATTTCGTGGCTTAAAATTTGGAATATTTGGTCGAGAATTTGTAGGATTTGTCGGCTGAATCTTAGGCGGATCTGATGGTTTTAATGTGGAAAGTTTATTCTTCTGAGGATTCAGAGATTCTGGAGAATTAGTTGCATTTCTCAACTCTTCTGGTGGTCCAGAAATCCTCGGATTCTTGTCCAATCTCAAAACAATCACTGCAGTTATCAGTGCCAAAACCAACAACATCAGAATAATCACAAGAGACATCAACGGATTAGAACATTTTTCTTTTAACGCCATTTTCAGATTTCGATCTGAAAGTCACCGGATTTCAATGCTCAAGAGGATCTAGAAAACTCACAAACTGCTATTATGAATCGTCAAAAAAGTTCTGAATAAAATTTCAAGAGTTCAATTTTTTAAAACGTTGTTGTTCGATTAGCATTTTTGTAACCTGTTTTTCGAGAATTCCAGACCAACAGGATTCACGTTTTTTTTTGGATTTGTTTTTTTTTCGATTGAACTATAATTCACGTCATCAGGAAAAATAGACAATTCTGAATCAGGACAGCTGAAAAGCTAAATTTTGTATAACTGTCACTTGGATTCATTTTTTTTTCTCTTTTCAGAAAAATTATCCTGACGTGTCCTAAATCCACATGATCTATGATTTACTAGACGACTAAAGTGGCGCTCAGTTGGTAGCGGATAATTAGTTTTCAGTTTCAACGACATTCGAATAACTTTCAAAGGTTTGTTATACGCACATTTGGGAGGTTCCAAAATAATGGTTAAACTTAGTGAAAACCAACAAAAAGTTGATAGAGTTGTTTCAAAATCTACAGAAACAGTGAAAAATAAAAATCGGTTGAACTGACTTTCAGGTTACAATTCTAATAAATGGCTGGGAGCATCAAGAAAGCAAAAACTACGAAAACGAAAACTTCGAAAACAACGACCCAAACTGGACCTAAAAAATCGAAGAAATCAACGCATCCGAAAAGATCCGAAAAGAAACACGAAAACTCAAATTCCCCGAAAAAGATAAACGGGAAGAAATGTATTCTTTACGGAATCCCAATTTTGATCATTTTTGCTCTGGTTGCGGCTTTGATTGTTGTCCTGACATTGGGGAATGTGAATTTTGGAGAAGTCAAAGAAGAAATCAAAGAAGAAGATAAAAAAGAAGTCGAAGTTTGCAAAACTCCAGAATGTATCATGTTAGCTCATCATTTGGTGAGTTTCCAAATTTTCAGAATTCAGAAAATTTATTTTTTCTTCAGAGCAATTGGAAAGACAATTCCGTAGATCCTTGTAAAGATTTCTTCAAATATTCCTGTGGAAAATACAATGAGCATAATGTTGTGGAATACTCTCAATTGACGAAGAAAACTTTGATATTGAAAGGATTGATTAAAGGTAATCAACTGATAAAACAATGTAATTCGATTAGTTCCACATTTTTCAGAGTTTCTTAAGAAAAACAAACCGTCTAATTCGAAAACAGAGCAATTGATGACCCATTTGTTTAGGAAATGTGAAGAAAGCAAAGATGAGAGCATCAAGGATAAAATCGAAAAGGAGAGGATCGAAGACATCAAAAAAGATGCCTTGAAAATTGGTTGGCCTTTGGCAGATCCAACTTGGCGTGAAAGTAGTTTCGACTTGGCTGGTAAAACATATAGTTTGAAGTTGTTGTGCCTGTAGGAGAGAGAGAGAGAGAGAGAGAGAGAGAGAGAGAGAGAGAGAGAGAGAGGCACCATCATACATTTATTATGATATGATAAGATTTTCCAGAATTGCTCGAACAAATCCCTACAATTCTTGACGGAGAAAGAAACGAAATAGGCTATGGAATATTCAATATCTGGATTCCTGCTGCTCAAAAAATATTCATCGGAGCGACTAGTGAATCCTTCACTGATTTTGGAACCGTCAAAAAGGTGAGAACATTTTTATTCTGAAAATCTTCATCAATGAGTTTGATGGGGCACGTAATATTACTGACTCTGAATTTTTGACCTGAAATCCCGGGCTTATGGTTTAAAGAAGTAGGCTAAAAGATTCGGCAACCCTAACTATAAGTTTGGAACTTCCCACAAATCTCCGACTCTCACTATGTTCAGAGGAACCAAATATTATTCACATTGTTTACAGGTAATATTAAAAGTTCTGGGAAAAGACGCATCTTCAAACCTGGATAATAAAGTGAAAGAAATCAATGAATTCAGTAAGGAACTGCGAGCTGTAAGATTTTTCAAATCAACTCATTCTTACATACAGTACTGGCCATAAAGAATGCGACAACTTGTTTTTTGAAGATAACTTTTTGAAAACTCAACTTTTCAACTCGAATTTTTTATTCAACGCGAGCTTTTCGGTTTTTCAAACTGACGAGTGGTTTTTTGACTGGTCTTCGTCCGTGCAGTCCAGCAACTTGCAAACGTCTTCTAATAGTTCTTCTCGATGGTACCGGTTCATTTGGAGACGTCACAGAAAGTTGAATATCCGTAGATGTGCGTCTAGGATCTTCTCGGCATGCGCGCAAAATGTTCCAATCCATATTTCTGGAAGTGGTTCGGGGTCTTCCTGGAGATTGGCGATGAACAACGCCATTCTAAATTGTTAAATTTAGTTGAGAAAGCTGATTGAAACCTCACATCATCTCGATTTTTCTTCAGAATACGGTAAATTTGGCTGGAAGAACAACTAAACTGAGTTGCAAGTATCTTCGGATGCGCGCCGAGTTCATGACCACGCACAATGCTTTTTCGCTCGTCCACAGAGAAGGATTTTTTCCCGAATGGTCTAACCATATCTGAAAAACAATAAAACAATAACTAAAACGAATTCCAATTAGTTGTCTTTCAACTTTATTTAAAAAAAACCAAAAATCATGAAAAATATGCAAAATGAAAAAAAAATGAAAACAATTGAAAAAAAATTTTGTTTGCAAGATGATGCAATTTCCAAGTACGCAAGTTTTCGTAACTTTCCAATGTGTCTACAGTAAAAAATTCGAGTTGAAAAGTTGAGTTTTCAAAAAGTTATCGTCAAAAAACAAGTTGTCGCATTCTTTATGGCCAGTACTGTATAAATTCACAGATTGATGCTTCTATACCTCTATCAGATGATCCGAATCAAAAGTACTCCAACAACTTCAAAGAAATGAATGATGCTCTTCCTGTCTTTGATTATTTGATCAAGTCACTTCTAACAAAAGGATCAAGAAGTTGGCGAAAAGTAAAAAACAAAATATACGGAAGGAACAGCTTTCTTCCAAAAGTCATAAAAGTAATTTTTCGTTGTTATCACTATTGCTCAAAATAATTTGTTTTCAGATAAGTGATCTTGTTTATAAGGACAAAAGAATAACTGCAAACTACTTGGTTTACAAATATGTTTCTAATTCTTTGAGGTTTACACCTGGTTATTCAGAATGTCATCAGGTAAAAAACATTATTATGTTCAAATTAGCTTCATTATTTTTAGGTTGTCATTAATAACCTCCCACTTCCCTCTCCCAGAGTTTTTATTCGAAATCATTTTGACAAAGGTGCTTTGAAAGATGTAGACAAACTTGTTGAGGATATCAGATCTAGCTTTATCGAAATGCTCGAAAAGTCTGAATGGATTCATGAGAAGACAAGAAGTGCTGCAATTCGGAAAGCAAAAGCCATGAAAAAGACGATTTCATACCCAGGCGAATTGGAGAAACCAGGAGCGTTGGATAAACATTTTAATGTAAGAATGACTAGCAGTGAATGTTCGAGAGGGATATTTCATTCAATTCAGATTCAATTAGATCCATCCGATTCGTATTATATAACTATGAGAAAAATCGACGGGGCATCAATGAATCTTCTGATGGATTATGTCTCTTCGGATTTTGCAATGGGTCCACATTTCAGTCTGTCATCTAACGCTGTGCATTCTTTTTTTGGCAATTCAATCAGTATGTTTTTTTCACTCTAGCTTATCCCACTCGAAGCTCTTTAGATATCTATGCTCCGATCATGGACGATCCTTTATTCCATACGAGTTTCCCGAACTATGCGAAAATTGCTGGAATCGGTTCCATTATTGGGCATGAAATCGGTCATGGATATGATATCAAGGGAATAAATTTTGACGAAAATGGAAATTTGAAAACGTGGTTTGATGGGGCAGATCAAAGGGAGTATGAGAAGAAAGCAGCGTGTCTTACCAATCAGTATAATAACTACGATGATCCTAGTTTTGGAAAGACAGTAAGTCTGCAAATGAATAATTTGTGAATACATATTTTTAGTTGAACGGCACTCTCACTGTTGGAGAAATGATGGCTGACGAAATGGGGCAGGATGCTGCATGGAGAACATTCAAAAAGTTGGATCTGTCTCAGGAGAAAAGAATCATTGGATTCGAGGATTACAGTATTGAAAAACTGTATTTCCAGATTGAAGCAACAGTAATCTACAATGAATGATTTCAACACGAAACTGAAAAAAATTCCAGAAGCGGTGTTCTCCACGATCGCCGTTAACACTCGAAGAGCAACTAAAAGAGGTTCATGCAACGAACAGTTTTCGAGTCAATGGAGTGTTTGCGAATGAGAAAGCGTTTGCAGAGGCGTTCAATTGTCCAACTGGGTCGCCCATGAATCCTGTCAAGAAGTGTACAATGTTTTGAGGTGTTTAATTTACTTAAGGTGTTTGTAATAAAGTTTTTTTTTCTCTTATAATTCAAGAAAAATGTTTTCTGATAAACTGATGTTACTGAAGTTCAGTTTTCCAAAAATTTCTGACGATTTCTGATTTAACGAAATATCAACTTTGAAATCACCCAAAGACATAACTATTTCGCCGTTACTTATTTCAAAAAGCTGAAAATTTCGAATTTTGGCCTTTTTGGATTTTTTTTCCATTTTCAGAATTGGAACTTGAAAGTTAAGTATTGAAAACTTTCCCCGTGTTCCTATTCTGCATACTGTNNCGGGCCGGGCCGGGCTTTTTTCCGAATTTCGGAGNNCCGGCCCGGCATGCCCGTCATTCCACAAGTTTTGAAAATTTCAAAAATACATAAGGGTGATTTTTCTCGATAAAAAATTTTTTCGAGTTTTTTTGATTTTTTTTTCTATCAAACAGACGAACCATCCAAAAAAACAGAAAAATGAAGAAAATTATATTGAGAGCTCAAAATTTGGCTCAAAAATGCAGGATTTTTTGGCTCAAAAAAATTTGGCTCAAAAATGCAGGAACCCTAAAGTTAACACCACCCCCGACGAGCTTCCCGCAATTTTCCTTAAGAAAACATGTACTGCTATATTTGGCGACAAAGGTAACGCCAAACACAAATATGTTTGACTGTTCCACATGTGGATTTTTCCAGCCGAGAGTCCAATCACATTTACATTTCAGTTTGGAGCCATTGGAAAAAAGTTTGGGCTCAGACTGGGTCAATTTATCTCCCAAACAACACCGTGCCACAGTAAATGCGTTCCCGAAGAGACTTATGGATGTAGTAAGGAACAAAGGCAACCGCGTCGAACAATTTTTATTAATTCATTTTTAGAAAGTATTCAGTAAACTACTGTTAAATTTTCTAGTTGATATGGGTCACTTTGGGAAAGTTACATCAATTTGAATGTGTTGCCATACTTTTGCCGCACCCTGTATATCTTATTGTCTGGTACTGTAAAAAAGGAAAACAAGTATTTTTTAGGTTACAGAATAAAAACTCTTCATTTAAGAAATTCATAGAATACACTAAAGATCTCAAAACATTGTACACTTCTTCACAGGATTCATTGGTGATCCAACTGGACAATTGAACGCCTCTGCAAACGCTTTCTCATTGCAAACACTCCATTGACTCGAAAACTGTTCGTTGCATGAACATCATCCAACTGCTTTGCAAGTGGTAACGATGATCGCGGAGCGCACCAATTCCTGTGACAAATCCAATTTTTTGAATGTTCTCCAAGCAACATCCTGCCCGATTTCGTCAGCCATCATTTCTCCAACAGTGAGAGTGCCGTTCAACTAAAAATATGTATTCACAAAATATTCATTTGCAGACTTACTGTCTTTCCAAAACTAGGATCATCGTAGTTATTATACTGATTGGTAAGACACGCTGCTTTCTTCTCATACTCCCTTTGATCTGCCCCATCAAACCACGTTTTCAAATTTCCATTTTCGTCAAAATTTATTCCGTTGATATCATATCCATGACCAATTTCATGCCCAATTATGAAACCGATACCAGCAATTTTTGCGTAGTTCGGGAAACTCGTATGGAATAAAGGATCGTCCATCATCGGAGCAAAGACATCTAAAGAGCTACGAGTGGGGTGAACTAGAGGAAAAGAACTCACTGATTGAATTGCCAAGTGGAGCGTACACAGCATTAGTCGTCAGAAAGAAATGTGGACCCATTGGAAAATCCGAAGAGACATAATCCATCATAAGTTTCATTGATGCCAGGTCGATTTTTCTCATGGTTAAATAAAACGAATCGGATGGATCTAATTGAATCTAAAATTTGAATGCAATGTGCTCAGGAAACACAACGCTTATAATCTTTAGTAGAAAGGGTCCAATTTTCTAGCACAATCAGAGAGGGTCCTTGTATGAGAGACCTTTTCTTTTCTTAAAAGAGAACCTTTTAAGTTGTCCGGTTCCTTGGCCCAAACCACGAATACAGCGTGAAAAAAACGTCTTTCAAAACCTATACGTCTGTTTTGAAAATATAATGTATTCGATAACCTCAAAACATTGATCACGTCAAAAAATTAAGACGAAATTTTGAGAGTTTTTCCCCAAAGTTTCGAGAAAGATTTTATGTTCAAATCACTGAGGTAGCAGTTTGGTTCTACAAAGACAGTTAAGAATTTCATTAATTGTTCTATGCAACAATTTTCAAAGATTACCACGAAGAAAAACTTTTTCCAAAAGGCGGAAATTCGGGAAAATGATCCCGCCAAACTAAATATGCTGAATTTTAAAATTCAAAAGGAAAATAGTTTTGAAAGACGCTCTTGCTGTATAGTTGGTTTGGGACAACTTGAAAGTTTTCCTTGTTAGAGCGGATATTCTAATACAGATTGCACAGTGGGTTAGTCATTCTCACACTGTAATGTTTGTCCAACGCTCCTGGTTGCTCCAATTCGTCTGGATACGAAATCGTCTTTTTCATGGCTTTTGCTTTCCGAATTGCAGCACTTCTTGTCTTCTCATGAATCCATTCAGACTTTTCGAGCATTTCGATAAAGCTAGATCTGATATCCTCCACCAGTCTATCTACATCCTTCAAAGCACCCTTGTCAAAATGATTTCGAATAAAAACTCTAAGAGAAGGAAGTGGGAGGAAGTGAGCAACTATCTGAAAATAGTCAAGCAATTTTTAAACATAATATAATTTTTTACCCTTTCACATTTTGTATCAGTTGTAGGTTTGAACCTTAGAGAGTTTGAAACATATTTGTAAACCAAGTAGTTTGCAGTTATTCTTTTGTCCTTATAAACAAGCTCACTGATCTGGAAAATTGTTTTGTGCACTAATAATGACTAAAAATTACTCTTCGGACTTTTGAAAGAAAGCTGTTCCATCCGTATATTTTATTTTTGACTTTTCCCCAACTTCTTGGTCCTTTTGTTAGAAGTGACTTGATCAAATAATCAAAGACAGGAAGAACAGCATTCAATTGTTTGAAGTTGTTAAACATGATTTCATCTAGATTCTCTGGTTGAGGTGTAGACTTAACAATCTGAGAATTTATTTATGAATATAAGTTGACTTGAAAAAGCTTACATCTTGCAGTGCGTGACTGAAATCAATAATTTCTTTCACTCTATCATCCAGTTGTGACTGATCCCGAAACGCGGCTGATCCCAAAACCAATGATAAGGTCTGTAAAAGTTGTAAAAAGTATTGGATGCGCAGTTTGAATTTTGACGATTTGAGCCGAAAAAAACGATATTTTTATATGAAATACGAAAAGCCTGGTCGGACACCCGCTGACGTGAGAATGAGGCTTCTTCAATCGTACAACAATGAGCAAAAAAGCGCGCATTCTCACTTATAATTTGGCCTAAGCCTATTTTTTGGGGGCCGGGTGTTTGTTTTAGGTGAAGATGTAAGAAAAGATCGCATAAAAATCAAAAACTTTAGTGGCACCCCTCAACCCCATAGCGCCGATTTTTTTGGAACCAGGAAACCAAACCGCACGTCATTCATGATGAAGTTTTTCTCACATTTTTTACGTCTTCGGTATTATTGAAGTATTCACTAGTCGCATCGATAAACACTTTCGGAGCAGCAGGAATAATGAATTTGAATATTCCATAGCTGATTTCGTTTCTTTCTCCACCAATGCTTGATTTGATTTTGTTGAGCAAATCTGAAAAATCTTGTCTCTGATTTTATGAAAAAAGATTTATGATGTTGATTAAAAACACAACAATTGCAAAACATTTGATTTACCAGCCAAGTCGAAACTGCTTTCATCCCAGTTTGGATCTGCCAAAGGCCAACCAATTTTCATGGCTTCTCGTTTGATGTCTTCGATCCTCTCCTTTTCGATCTGATCTTTGAGGTTGCCATCTTTGGTGTCTTCACACTTCTTATATAAATGGGCCATCAATTTCTCGGTTTTCGAACTGGTGGGTTTGTTTTTCTTAATAAACTCTGAAAAATTCGAAATCTGATAGAATGACATTGAGTTGTTAGTTGATAACCTCTAATCAATCCAAATAATATATAATTTTTCTTTGTCATTTGATCTTCCGCGTCATTGTGCTCAAAGTACTTGCCGCAGGAATATTTGAAGAAATCTTGACAAGGATCTACAGAATCGTCTTTCCAGTTGTGCTAAAAACGAAACTTTCTAAAGTTTGAAGTTCTTGAAACTCACCAAATGATTAGCCAACATGATGCATTCTTTAGTTTCGCAAACTTCGACTCCTCCAAATTTTCCCAATAGCAAGACAACAATCAGAGCAGCAACCAAAGCGAGAATGAGGAGAATGGGGGTTCCGTAAAGAATCAATTTTTTCCAGTTTCTCTTTTTGGGAGAATTCGATTTTTCGCTTTTCGATGGAGTGGACTTGGGCATGCTCCCAGTTTTCGGTTCCTTCGACTTTTTAGGTCCAGTTTGGGTTGTTGTTTTCGGAGTTTTTGATTTCTTCAGCCCAACCATTTTCAGAATTGGAACCTGAAAATTATGAATTTTATTTTCAACTGTGAATTCTTCAAAATCTTCAGAAATGGAGATTCTGCATATATTTGAAAAATATTGTTTAACATTATGTGTTCATCATGAAAACTATTGGTCGTCGAAGCTATTGGCGACCGCGTAGTTCCAAACACAACGCCCCTAACTATGTAACTTGACCTCCAAAGTTTTTGATGTACAAACCTTTGAAGTTGTTAAAACTGAAAGCCAATTATTCGGTACTAATTTGATTTTGTCACTTTGACTGTCTATAACAGACTGATCATGTGGATTTAGGACACTTCAGGGTAATTTATCTGAAAACAGAAGAGGCCAAGTGACAATTTTTGAAAAAATAAATGCTTTTTGAACCGTGAATTTATGTCACACAATTCATGAAATCAGTGTTCAGAACTGAGAGAGAGAGACCTTTTCGAGTGGTAAATTATAAAATGCTATAGAATAACACCTGAAAAATGATGAAACATAAACAGTGCTGAAAATTGATCATCTGGAATTGCAAAAAGATAGTAGAGAAAGCCAAAAAGCCGAAAGACTCTAGTTGAAAATTTGCAAACTCATACCATAAATAGAATTGCAGCTCCATGAGGTATTACATGATTAAAAGTTGGCCAAAGACTCGATAATCGTGATCAGAGGCCGTATGCAAGAAAGTGGAAAACAGACGGAAAACAGTTTTTCGGAAAACGAATTACCGGAAAATGACGATTTCGGTATGCAAGAAAATTTTCGTTTTCCGGAAAACCATTTTCCAGGCGTTTTTTTCCGAAATCGTTTTCCAACCTCGTAGGTCGGAAAATGGAGAGGAAAACGATTTTCCGGAACAGAAAAAAGGGTTAATATCGGCGAATTTCTCGAAATCTCGTTGTTTTTTTTGAAGCAGATGTATGAAACAAAACATTTTTAGAAAATAAGTTAATTTTAGTGTCTTGAGAGCAAATTTTTCGAAATTTTCAAAATGGCTTAGTTGGCTGCATCAGTCTGAAAAAATAATATAAATTTCAAAGGAAACAACAAGACCGCTCGCTACGGCAATAATGGAGACTTAGTAGTTGCGTTTCCTTACAACGGGAACGAGACGCGTCTAGCTGATAACTATGCGGTGGCATTAAAAACGCTTGCAAAGCTTGATGGTGACCCTCCAGAGAGGAAACAGCCAAGTTCCTCAGTATGCTAAGATCATCGATGATCAATTACTAGCTGGGTACATCGAGAAGGTGACCCCTGAGATGTTGGAAACCACTGGTCCACAGTACTATATTCCTCATAGAGCTGTTTTTAAGGAGGACTCTGAAACTACCAAAGTCCGAATCGTCCTTGACGCTTCCAGCCACGCCTCCGGCCAGCTGTCCCTTAATGACTGCCTCCATGCAGGAACGAACATGATCAACAAGATTTTCGGAATCTTGGTGCGCATGCGCTTCTCTCGATACGTCATCGTGGCGGACATCGAGAAGGCCTTCCACCAGATCAGACTCCAAGAGGAGTCCCGAAACACGATCATGTTCCTGTGGTTAAAAGAGCCCTCTCAACCAGTGACCTCTTCCAACCTCCAGGTATACCGCTTCACCCGAATCCCGTTCGGAGTTTCCTCTAGCTCGTTCTTGTTGGCCGCATACATCTATTACTGTCTTGATAGTCATCCTGACAGCCTCAATCAGATGATTAAGGACAACATTTACGTAGATAACTGTCTTTTTACCACTAATGACCGTGACGAGATTCCTCAGATCATTGACAGCTCTCGCAAGATTTTTTCCGAGATGAAAATGAATTTTCGAGAGTTCATCGTTAATGACGTCAAGATCATGAATTCGTTACCACCAGAAGTGAAAGCAAAAAACGACATTATCGAGCTACTAGGATACCTCTGGGAAAGTGTGAATGATACTCTCAATATCAAGATTGCCCAGATGAACATTGATCATCCAACCAAGCGACAAGTCGCTTCGAAGTTCGCCGAGACCTTCGATCCACTTGGACTGGTGTCCCCCATTTCTGTGTCCCTTAAGCGGCTCATCCAGAAAATGTGGGAAATGGATATTGATTGGAATGCTAAGCTTCCCCCGGAAGCCCTTAGAGACTGGTGGATGTGTTTATTAGGGCAATGTAAAGTTTGATCAATTTTTCCTATAGTGAACTATAACTCATGAGTTATGCAACTTTTTGAGGAGTCATTTTCCAGCTCATGGTTCCATTGTATTTCCCTTTTCACTCTGAAACGATCATCTGCCGAGTTGAATGATGAAATATCAATTCCTACTAGCTCCAAAAATCATAAATTAACCCCTATTGTACAATTTTCACTCAATTATGATGATGACAGGGTCAGATTTAGATAGAAAAAAAGCGGAATCTCCTGAAAACATTCCACTGAAAAGAAATTTCCACCAATATTCATAATTGTCACTTTTATCAGTCTTCCGAACATTGTATTATGTATTGATAGGTTTAACTTGGTGAAAAATCGAAATTATCAATTTTCGGGCTAACAATATCACTGACGTATATCCCGACACCGGAAATACGCCAACATTTTCCGGAAAATAGAGGCTGGAAAACGATCATTTACCGGAAAATGTTTTCCATTTCGTTTTCCGCTTCTTGCATACGGAAAACGGCATTTTCCGGAAAATGCGTTTTCCAAGGAAAACATTTTCCAAAGAAAACGGTTTTCTGGAAAATCCTTCTTGCATACGGCCTCAGAATGTATATTTCACATTCATCATCGTTTTCCAACTCCATTTGCAGTTCCTTAGTCCATTTTCCATAGCGGGGGAAATATTTGAAGTCATAGGCAGCAGTAATAGTGGAAAAGGTCATGGCGACAGCATACTTGTACAGACTAAAAGAGAGAACGGATGGAAAATGACCGGAATGCGGACACTTATATACTCCCAAAAAATAAGCCCGCCCCCTTGGGATATGTCACCACTGGCTGTAAATTTTTGGAAGGGATGACAATTAGAGTAGGGTATACTGTTTATTGTATCAGATGAGCAATCTTGGTAATAATACAACTTTTATTGTCATCCTTTAGACTTTCAATGAATTAATATAAAGGAGACAAATGGAGTACCACAGAAATTGTATTCATTTCATGAGAAAAAGTCTATGAATCTACAGGGTGGAACAGAGATTATGTGGAGAAGTGTACTTGAATTTTATGATTATTTATTGTTATTAAAAAAAGATCTATACAAACCGAAGAGGTAAAATAGAGAAGGAGAGAGATAGAAACTAATAAAACAAAAAGAGCAAGTGAATGAGATTGGAAACAAAAGAAATGAACCCGGTAGAAAGAGGGAGAGACTGGTCAGAATTGGGTGGAAACGAAAAATGAGCGTTAATGATATTACGGTAATTTCGAAAAATTAGTAGTATTGACCTCCAGTCATCAGAAATTGGTTGTACTGCTGTTGAGGTCCCATAGTTTGCTTAGGTTTCGAAGGGACTCTTCTAATACAGGTTTTACGTTATGTCTTTTCCTCTCACCCTTTGAAACACTAACCCAAAGGTTCCATCATCCTAGAAATCCCATTTTTGCTACTTTAGTCTTCCTTCTGAATGTCTCATTCAAGGTTTCCGAAGTTCTAAAGTGTGAGTTATCACCTCTCTTGGAACTAATAACAAGTAAGGCGTCTGTTCATTGTACCGTATACTTTTATTATCCGTTTTACACGTCGGTGTCCTTTGTTTTTCCTCCTGACTTGCCGGTCCCTTTTAAGAATATTTTGGCATACACAGTGCGGTCAATATCTCTAATCGAATACATGCCTACAGTTCCTTCTACAGTATCTTTCTTCGTCATCATTTCTAGGTTTTGTCAGGAAACGAAATAATAGGTTGGCTAATAAGATACTGGAATCGGAAAGGACTGCCAAATGAAGTAAAAGAAGGACATCTTATTCTTTTGTAAAAACTATTAAACAAAGCTTCGGAAATTTCATTAATTTGAGAACTAATATTAGGAAAATTTCAATATTTATGTTTCATACAGCCATAGTACAGAAAAAAACAGATAAGAAATTATGGAAACAATAGACGATTACATCGAAGAAGATTGATAATATTTGAAGAACAAATTGAATTTGTTTTGTGGTTGATTTTCAGGATCTTCTTGATTTTCTGGACCTTCTTCTTGACGTGGTCCATCTCCATCTTAGTTCTGTGGATGTGGGCCACCGACAACTTCAATCCAATCTTCTGGATCCTCTTCTGGTTGTACTTCACGTGGTCCTTCTGGTCCTACAACCCTTCCTTGGTCCCCTACAACTGGAGCCTCTGGAGCAGCAACGACTGGTCTCGGACCTTCACGAAGCTCTGGAATAAATCGTGGAGCCCATACATCAAATCGAGGAGCCGGACCTTCTTGGTATCCAGGGATCAAGCGACCTGGTGGACGTACGGCGTTTGGAGGACGGAGGAGCTGACGGAGCAGCCGAGGAAACCGATTATCTCTGACAATCGAATTTACCGGATTGAGTGGTATTTCCGGGAGATCTGGTGGAAGGTCTCCGAACTGTTGCAAGTGACGAATACGTTCATTTCGAGCAATTGACCATTCAAGCTGAATTACATGCTCCTGGAGCTTATTCATTTATTCTTGTAAGTCGATTCGTTCCAACAACAGGTTGGGATAGGTAGCTCGATGGTTTCTCTCCAAATTGTTGAGGTCTACGCGTTCCAATTCCTGGAAAACAAAATTTAGGATTCGGAGAAAAGTTTCAGAGTTCCAAATTTCGAAAACAAATCTGAAACTTACCAATGTATGTTCCATCACTCCTCTGACTTTGTCCAACACCTCCACATCCTGCGGTTCCGCACCCCTCACATCTTCAATAATTCGCTGCCGTTCGAGTTCCAGTGTACGGATTGACTGAAAATATTAAGGTTTTTTTGGAAGGCAGAAGTTTAATTTACCTGTCTCAATTGCATAATTCGATCTCTCAATCGAAGCTCCTGCGCGTCCTCGCCAACATTTCGCTGATTCATTTTGACTCTGAAAATGGAAAAATACGTTGACAATTTTTAAAAATTTAGAAACAAAACGAAAACATGGATGACTTTGTTCGTTTTTTCCCCTCTTCAAATTCTTGCGCCAAGAGTTTTTTGAAAAAATTTCGGTAGATCAAAAATTTTGGAATTTGTAATTAAAAAGGACCCACAATCAGAATATTTGTTTCAAAATTTTTTCGAAAACTTCAAATTGAAGTCCGTAAACGTCATTAATGCCTGAAAAATATTGCTAATGTAAGCTTTCGATAAATTTTAATATCTGACAGAAGATTATAAGTCTCGCCACTACCTTTTGAGCTAAGCGGTTCTTTCTGTGACATTACTAAACGATGTCCATCCACTTTGAGCCCATATATCTCATTCCCTGTTAATGATATCCAAAAACTGTCAACTAGTTATATGTTTATCATAACATCACAAACATTTTGTCAGTTGATCAATTTTTGTAATCTTTGATAGGAACCAAGTTAAATTGGCTCAAAGTTAACAAACTGGAAAAAAAGCTCCAAAATTCCTCACATCACCTCCATAATCTCCCCTCCCCCCAATGTTTTCCGTCAAAAAAGGACATTGCTCATGCCACGTTACTCTCACTTACTTCTTCCTCCCTCCTTCCAGTTTTTCTTCTCGGTGCTTCGTCTTCTTCTTCTACTCGAAATTCTTGTTTCTCTCTCTGCGTCTCTTCTCTTCTTGTCTTCTCTCGTTGCAAATCTTTTGGGGTCTGCATCTATCGCCATATTTCAAAGAAAAATGCACTTTTTCGTTTTAATATGCATTGAAACCAAGGAATTTTGATAGAAGAACTGCTTGGAACTAATTTATGGATAGTTTCGGAGCCTGTTTTGCCCTTCTTTTTCGGTTTTTTTTGTTCAATATTTTCTAAAAATCGACATTAAAATTTCGAATTCTGGAAATTTTCAGATTCAAAATGAACAATGCCGATAGGATCGTAGAGGCTCAACAAAGGTTGGCGGAACTAGTGAGTTCTAGTATTTTTGAATGGAAATTCTACAAAAATTTATTTTTTTCAGAGGCAACAAGAGGATCGCGACATAGCAGCATTTAATCCGGGGGTGGGTTTTTTTTTGGAAAAAAAAATTGTCCAAAATTTGAGATAAACCCCAAAGCTGTTCCAGAAAACGGAAAAAATGGAGAACTTGGTATAAAAAAATCTGAGGAATTTTGAAATTTGATAATCAGGATATCGGTAAAAGAGAAGGTTGTTGAACCTGATAATTAGATTCAAAAATTAAAAAAAATATATCCTAAATTCGAAAATTCTTTGAAATATCCGAAAAAAAAAATCAGAACAATAAGGAATTCCAAAAACTCAGGATTTCGAAAAACTTTGAAAATCCAAAAAATCCTAAAATTCTTAAAAAATCAGAAGTTTCAAAAGTTTAGGAAATACTAAAAAACCAGGATTCCAAAGAAGTTTCAAAATTTCGAAAAAAACTGGGAACATTCGAAAATCTTTAAGTTCCAAAAGTTCAGATCTTCCGAAAAATTGAAACTTCGAAAGTTTTGAAAAATCCGAAAAATTTAGAAATTCCAGAAAATATAAAAATATAAACTTTAAAAAAAATTATCCAATTTCATTATTCACATTCTTTTTTTTTCAGTTTTTAACTTCTGTAAATTTTTTATTTTTGGGATGTCACTACCAAAATCTCAAATTAAAGTTTTTAGAAACCAAAATTGTCCAGCTTTGGTAGAAGTTGCCTACCGTAATACCTGTAATAGAATAGGCCCTACATTGTCGAGGTTGAGCTCAATTATCTCAACTCCTATGCAAGATATCAAAAATGTGTCAACTGATAAAATGATATTATGATGAACAATTAACAAGTTGACAACTTTTTTATATCTTTGACAGGAACCAAGAAAAATTGGTTCAATATTGAAAGTTAGGTGCGTTTCAATAACAGGTTTTAAGGTACATTTTTTACTTTGAAAACGAAAAAAACTGAATTTTCAGCGTCAACAACAACGAGAGGTCGAGAATCTGGTGGTACGAATGGAATTGCAGCAACTTCTTGAAATGATTGAAGATCTCGACTACGTGATTTCTCTAGAAGAGAGAAGAAGAGAGCTGGAGAGAAGACAGGTCGAAGGTAATAATGGACAAAATGTGGCAGGGCCGAGAAATGAAGATCTCATGGAGAGACTGGATTTTCTGAGAAATGAGCTTGATGCAAGACAAGAAGAATTCCATGCTATAGGCGGTCCACTTCGAGGTATACCTCCTCCTCCTCATCCACACGATTTTGGACTTTTGAGAGGAGATGAAGATCTGGATGAGATGTTTCAAATCATAATGCGCAATGCGGGAATGCGACAAGAAGAACGTGAAGCCAGGGAACTAGTGATGCAGCTTAGAATCGATGAACTTCGACGGCAGCTTGATGAGGAGAATCGAGAAAGAGAAGCCAATGAGCAGCCACCACCGAATCCGCCGCAGGAATAAGCGAATTTATTGATTTTTTTCGAACTTCAATCTTTTTGTCTTTTTTCCTGAAACTCATATTTTGTTATGACCATTTCCATAACTCTTCTATTTCAAACCCCACATTGTCACCTTTGAACCCATTTATCTCATTTCCTGTGAAAGAAATCAAAAAGCGGTCAACTGATAAAATATTGGTGATATTATGATAAAAATTGTATCAATTGATCGTTTTTTATATATTTCACAGGAAATGAGATAAATGGGTTCAAAGTAGACGGTTTTCATCTGAAATTCTTTCTTTTTTCTAGCTATTCCCATCACTCTTTCTTCTATTCCAAAACGTCCCATTTTTTCAAGTAACCAAATTTTCAGACGAATTAATTATCCAAGGATTTCAAAATCAATCATGTTCAGCTTCATTTCTCAAACTATATCAAAATTCATACTGTAAAACCTGTATTACAAGAGCCCCACATTGTAAACTATGAAAATCATTTATCTTGGTTCCTGTGAGAGATGTCAAAAACGTGTCAACTGGAAACTTGTTTATCATAATATCAGAAGTATTTTGTCAGTTGACACATTTTTGATATCTTGTGTAGGAATTGAGATAATTGAGCTCAAAGTTGACAGTTCAAAAGTTCACCTTTCTCAAAACTCATAATTTCAAGTGTTCCGCTTCCCAAAAAATCTCATTTCATCATTCCTTATTGATCTCTCTTCTTCCATTTGTCTAATTTTTCAAACTTTTCTTTTTTTTTCCGAATAAATAAGTTATTTTCGTAAAAGACTTTTATGTTGCAATTTTTTTTGGTCTCAGGATTTTTAAGCTTTCAGATTTTCAGAATTCTCAACTTTCCAATTTTCCGATTCTTATTTTCTATGTGTCGTTTGTCTTTTCCCCGTTGTTTCTTTCTGTCTTCCTCTTCTTCTTCTTGTTTCATTTTTCTCCTCTCACTGCCTGCGTCTCCTCTTTTCTCTGTCTTTCTCGCTTTCCTGCCAACGCACAACCGCTGATCCTGTATATTGATTTTCGTTGTATTAGCATCGGAAATTTTTGTTTTGTTTGCCGAAAATTAAAAAAATAAATTTTTTAAACGAAAAATACGATTTTAGAAGGATTCTTATTGCTGAAAATTTTTTTTCAATGCAAATGCGCCCTATCGAACAATTTTTTCTTTCAATTTTCAAAGTTTTTTCTCGGGTTTTTGGCGAATTTTTGGCAAAATTTTTTCCATTTTCAAATCGAGGAATTCTCAATTGAAAAATATCGTTTTCCCATCATTTCCTCGCTTTTTTTTCAATTTTCTAACTTTCAAAAAACATTTTTCAGACTCCAATGGCTCAGGACAATTTAGAAGGCCAAAATGAGGAGCTCCGCCGCATACAGCAGCAAAATGATGAGCTGGAAAGAGTGAGTCTATTTTTTGAAAATTGAATTTTTTCATTTAAAAATCTTTTATTTAATTCGAAGTTTTTAAATAAAACATATATTTTCAAAATTTTATTCTTTTAGGTAGTCGAACGACATCGACAAAACTTGGCACGTCTCAATGAGCAAGAAAGAGGACTGAATGAGAATTTGGTGAGTTTTTGTTTTTTGAAAAATTCAGAACTTGAGAAAATTTGAGAAAGCGCCGAACACCTAACTGCCTTCCTAATACCTTGACGTTGTTCGCCGGATGGTGTTGGGGATGTGGTGAGTGGTACTATGCGCAAGGTCAAGGGTTCGATACTTCTTGTGGTTTTTCTTTTTTTTTCTCTATTTTAGAGTTAAAAACCGCTCTACAATCTTTCTAGGAAATGTCCCAAATCAAAATTTTATTTTTTTTTCAGCAACTGCTCAACCAAAGACTCCAAGTCCAACAAGACCACCTGAACTTGGTTCAGAACCTTCCCCCATGGCCCGGTTTGCCAATGTTTCCACCACTCCCCAGAGCTCCTTTGAATGAGAGAGAACAAGTGGCGAGGGATCTCGAGGAGCTTCTACAGATGATTGAGGACCTGGACTATGAGATTTCTCTTGAGGAGAGATCACGGGCTCTTCAAAGGCAAGGAATTCTTCCAGCGGCTCGTCCGGCTCGCGATCTGGACCAGCTTCGTCAAAGAGTCGATCAATTGGCACAACCTCTGGCTCAAATGGTTCCGGCTCTGAATGCGATGATCCATCAACTAGGTCAACAGATTCCAGGACTTCGAGAGTTGAATGCTGCTCAACGAGCCCAGCCACCACCGCCACAACCACCAGCACAAAATAATTAATTGGGTATTGTATTTGTGTGATCTCCTCCTGCTTTTTTTTGCTGATTTTCAATAAATATGGAATGCATTTATAAAGTTTTGTTTTAGCTTTTACAGATATTTTAGAAAATTTTAATTTTAGAGGTCTCTAGAAGTCTTCTTCAGAATTATCCTGAAATTTACAGAAATATCCAAAAACCTTCAGAAGTCGTCAGACGTCTTTAAAGTTATCTAGAAGTATCCAGAAGGCTTTAGAAGGCTTCAGAAGTTCACAGAAATCTCCACAAGACTATGAGAATGTATAAAAGGATTCAGAAGTCTTTCAAATTTTTTTTGAAGTTCCAAAGAAATTTGGAATTCTCCAGAAGCCTTTGGAATTTGTATTGAGTATCCAGAAGTATCCAGCAGTCTTCAGAAGCCCATGGATGCTTCTAGAAATCTCCGTATGACTATAGGAATCTGAAGGAGGCTTCAGAAGTTTTTGAAAGTTTCTTGAAACTTCCAGAAGTTTCTAGTAGTATCCAGAAGTCTATTTTTTTTCAAATCCTTTTTTTTTGACTTTCAAATCCTTTTTTTGAACTTGAAAACTGTGAAATTCGAAATTTCTGAAAAAAATATTTTTTGATCTACCAAAATTTCAAAAAATAACTTTTGAGCGCAGGAAGTTGAATAAAAAATCAACAAACAAAATTTTCCATTTTTAATTTTTTTTTCCTTTAAAATTTGAAATGTAAACCTATATTTACCCATTTTCAGAGCCAAAATGAATCAGCAAAATGTTGGCGGGACGCGCAGGAGCTTCGGTTGAGAGCTCGAATTATGGAACTGACAATGAGAAGGGTAATTAATTTTTTTTTAAATTTTTCAAAAACTTCTCGCAGTCTATTCTGTAATTTAAAAAAATTAAATAAAACAATTGTTTTCTCAAAATAATTTCAAAATATACAGTCGGGATAGTCAAAAAAAGCAAAACTTTCAGACAATCCGTGCTCTTCAGGCAATCCGTGCTCTTGGCCAGAAAATTCTGAAATCGGAAGGGGACTTAGACCGATGCTTCCATCTTTTATTTCTAGACGGATTACAGCATGGATTGGTAAGGTTTACAGCATGGATTGGTAAGGGTTGAAGTCGTCGGTTTTCGACATTGACTGAATCTAGATGAACCACGTCCAGAGGATCAAGAACGTCCAGAAAACCGAAATCCAGAAGAGCAACGTCAAGAGGAAGGTCCAGAAAACCAAGAAGATCCTGATAATCAACCACAAATTCTTCTTGTTATCCGAAGGCCAGCAGTTACCGCTCCAGAAGCCCCAGTTGTAGAAAGACCTGCTCCAGAGGAGCAAAGAGAGGTTGTTGGACTAGAAGGACAACGGGAAGCACAACCCGGAGAGCAACCAGATCCAAATGTATTCTTTATTCCACCAGAACGACGGGTTGGTGATGACGGAGTTCCACTTCCACGAAATCAAGATGAACCACGCCAAGAGGATCTAGAAGGTCAAGAAAACAGGAGACCAGAAGAGCCACGTCAATGAGGAAGGTCCAGAAAACCAAAAAGATTCTGAAAATGAACCACGAAACTAACTTAACTTTTATCATTTTTTCATTCTAACACTATTCATCACTTCTGCTGTAATCGTCTATTTCAATCTCTTTCGTATCCTTGTACTTCTATATTTGCCTTTATTTCTGCATTTCGATTATATAATATTTTTAAATAATAAAACATTTAATTTTCAGATTTTGCAGTTTTTTGAAAGATAATCTGGAATTTAAAAAATTTCACCTCTGATGTTTTTAAATCTCATTAGTTTCTGAAAATTTTTTTTTCTCACATTTAGAAATTTCTGAAATTCAAAACGCTCAAAAAATCTGATGTTCTGAACGGATTAAGTGCTTCCAGAGAATTTTGAAATTTTGAAATTCAATCATTGACAATTCTTAAGTCTAAAAATCTAAAAATATTTTTTTTGATCTACCTAAAAATTTGAAAAAAAATCTGGGCGGCAGTAATTGAATTTAAAAAAATCAACAAACCAAATCTTCCATTTTTTTTCATTTTTGCTTTCTTCTAAAATTTGAATTGCCAACTTATATTTTTCCATTTTCAGATTCAAAATGAGCCAAGAAAATGGTGGTGAGGACGCGCTGGAGCTGGAATTGAGGGCTCGAATTATGGATCTGAGAAGGGTAATTGATTTTTTAAAAATATTTTTTCTAATAAACGAGGTTTCCATCTTTCAAGAAATTATATAAATTTTCAGACAATCCGTGGTCTTGAAAGGCAACGAAGAGTTGTACTCCCAATGGTCCTTGAACCGATGGTAGTGGCGCTGTTCTACCAAATGGCATTCGAGGAATCTGTAAGATTTTACAATTTTGCTAGAAACGAAATTTTGAAATTTGTTGTTGGTTTTTTTGAGTATTGAGTATACTATTGACAACCTCAAATGTCAAATTTTCAGGCTCCTAAATATTTTTTTCCAGCAAAGACAACGCATAGAACTCGACACTGCCGAGAGATTCTACCGAGATACCTATCCCAACCTGTTGGAACGATTAAACTTACAAGAAGAAAATGATGAAGTTCAGGAGGATTTATTGGACGAAGAACATTTAAATGCTGTAATAGAAGTTTTTCATTACATGCAACAACGCGGACAGCTTCCACCAGAAATTCCGGAAGTACCAGTCAATCTAGTGGAAGTTCCGCCTTTGGAGAACGTTCAAATCCCTCCGCCTCCGCTAGCAATTCGTCAATTTCCAGTGGCTGAAGCACAAGGGAATCCGGTCGTCGCACCTCAACAACTTGGGGATCAGGAGTTTAGGGAACGGTTTCTTGAAGCGGAAAGACACGCGGAAAGACGAGCAGCAGCACAAATAAATCTTGTTCCACCAAATTTGATTAGACTGGAAAGACTAGCGCGAAGACGAATAGAAAATATGAATGCTGCTCCTTTGGTTCGAGAACAAATTCTTGTAAGGCAAAGACGAGTAGAAGCTGCTGCACATCGAGAAAATCAAGATCCAGAAAATTTTATTCAAGTTATCCGTGCTGAAAATCGACAAAATCAAGATGAACCACGTCAAGAGGATCAAGAAGGCCCAGAAAACCAAAATCCAGAAGAGCCACGTCAAGAGGAAGGCCCAGAAAACCAAGCAGTGCCTGAAAATCAACCACAAATTCTTCTTGTTATCCGAAGGCCAGCAGTTACCGCTCCAGAAGCCCCAGTTGTAGAAAGACCTGCTCCAGAGGAGCAAAGAGAGGTTGTTGGACTAGAAGGACAACGCGAAGCACAACCCGGAGAGCAACCAGATCCAAATGTATTCTTTATTCCACCAGAACGACGGGTTGGTGATGACGGAGTTCCACTTCCACGAAATCAAGATGAACCACGCCAAGAGGATCTAGAAGGTCAAGAAAACAGGAGACCAGAAGAGCCACGTCAATGAGGAAGGTCCAGAAAACCAAGAAGATTCTGAAAATGAACCACGAAACTAACTTAACTTTTTCATCGAATATTATCAATCTCTTCCGATTTAATCGTCTATTTTTAACACTTTCGAGTCTTTGTACTTCTATTTCAACTACTATTTTTCTGTATTTTGATTGTTGATAATTGAGCACAATAACGTTTATTTGGATAATTATTTTTCAGAGATAAACTGAAATTCTAATAATTACACTTGAAATTCGCAAAATTGACCGTAGAAGTTTTCAGACGGCGTCAATACGAAGTTGTTTGACTGTGAAGTTTTTTTTGTTGGAAAAGTTCTCTCGTCGTCTGCACTCTAGCCAAATTCAATTTTTCACGGCCCTCTCTCTTTTACTCTTTTTTTTTGGCTAATAGAAGTTTATCATATTGTATTGTGTTAGTGGCATATGCCCTTCAATCAATTCAATAAATAAATTAAATCACAAGAGTAATGGAAACCACTGAAAATAACGAACTTGAGCAATTTTTATAGAGAAAAAGATCATTTTCTGTATTACTGAAGACTTCAGCTATCACCTGCACAACACTCCATAAAAATTGGAGCATTTTGAGCAACGTTATGAACCAATGAACAAAATAAAAACCGGTTTTTCTCAACCGTACATAGCTCTATCAGATTTTCACGTAGTCAGAAAAATAAAGCCGTCATCAATACCGCAGAGAATTTTGCTACAATCGCTCCGTCTTCGATTTTTTATTCAGGTCCTCATTTTCTTGTAAATCTTGAAAAAGTGTCAAAAATCGAAAGTTTTCGGGAATTTGGTACTGAAATTTGTACCCTGCAAGACTCTGCCAGTATCCAACCGATCATAATGATCAATACACCAAAATTTCCAATTAAATCTGTGAAAAATTGCACAGAGATAAAATAGCGTGAGAGATGAAGAGACGCAGAGACATTTTTTCTGAAATTTTTTAACCAAAAATTTTCACGCTGGGAGACCGTGGATCTCACTTGGGTTCAGGCGAGGGGGTCAGAAAAAGCGCCCTAGCAAACTCGTAGGCCAGAAGAAATTTAATAATTTTAAAATGAACGCGGGTTTGAACTAGATCATGATCTATTTCTTAAAAATCAACGGGTTGCAACGCGCGCATTCTCGCTCATCGTTTAAAACTGTGATACTCAGCCAACGAAGTTCGCCACCGAATTGAGAATTTTTNAAAAAAAAACTGGGGCGCGCTTTCTGACCCCCTCGCTTGAACCCAAGTGGGATCTCTGAATTTCTGAAAAAATTTTTTTTTTGATCTACCAATTGATCTATAACGTTTGGGCGCGAGAAGTTGAATTAATCAATCAACAAACACAATCCTTCAGTCTTCCATTTTCTCCTAATTTCAATAATAAACCTAATTTTTAAATCATTTTTAGAGTCAAAATGAATCAGGAAAATGGTGGCGGGGACGCGCAGGAGCTGGAATTGAGAGCTCGAATTATGGAATTGAGAAGGGTAATTAATCTTTAAAAAATATATTTTCTAATGAATGAGATATCCATCTTTGAAGAAATTATATAAATTTTCAGACAGTCCGTGGTCTTGAAAGGCGACAAAGAACTGCACTCCCGATGGAACTTGAACCGATCGTGGTGGCGATGTTCTACGCAGTGGGACTCGAGGAATTGGTAAAGTTTTACAATTCTGTTAAAAACATGGAATTTGAAAGGATTTTTTGATATTTTTGAGTCGAACTTTTTCTCAATTTTTGAGTTTTCTGAAGTCTAAATGTTGTTTTACAGAATAGAGAACGCAGAGAACTCGACACTGCCGAGAGATTCTACCGAGATACCTATCCCAACCTGTTGGAACGATTAAACTTACAAGAAGAAAATCATGAGGTCCAGGAGCATTTCATTGACGCTGACTTTTTAAATGCTGTAATGGAACGTGCTCGTCAAATGCAACAATTCGGAGAGCAGCTCCTACGAGAACTTCATGAAGTAGCATTCAACCCTGTGGAAGTACCGCCCAATCCACCTGTACCACCTTTGGAGAACGGTCGAATCCCTCCGCCAGCAATCCGCGATTTTCCAGTGGCTGAAGCACAAGGGAATCCGGACATCGCACCTCAACAACGTGGGGCTCAGGAGTTTATGGAATGGTTTCTTGAAGAAATGAATGCTGCTCCGGAAAATTTGATTCAAGTTATCCGTGTTGATCCACGTCAAGAGGCTCAAGAAGACCCAGAAAACCGAAATCCAGAAGAGCCACGTCAAGAGGAAGGTCATGAAAACCAACCAGATATTCAGGAAGAACTACTCAATCCGATTGAAGTAGCGCGAGCAGGGAGACATTTGAATCATGCTCAACTCCCTCGGCTCCATAGACCTCCGCCAGCAATTCGTCAGTTTCCAGCGGCTGGAGCACAGCGGAATCCGGACATCGCACCTCGACGACTTGGGGATCAGGAGTTTATTGAACAATAGAATGCAGCGCGAAGATTCTTTGAACATCGCCAAAATCAAAATGAACCCCGTCAAGAGGATCAAGAAGGTCCAGAAAACCAAAGAGAACCTGATAATCAACCACAAAACTAAATTAATTTGTTTAATTTTTTCTTCTAATATTATTAATTAGTTTCGATGTAATCGTCTATTTTTATCACTTTCATATCTTTGCACTTCTATTTTAACTACTATTTTTCTGTATTTCGATTGTTGATAATTGAGCACCTTTTATTTTAAAAATTATTTTTTGACAGATAAACTGGGATTTCAGAAGTTTCAAGATTTACAAATTTCAGCAAGCTACAAATGTTTAGAATTCGAATTTTAACTCTGAAATGTGAAAATTTAATCAGTTTCTGAAACTTTTCTTTCTCACATCTGGAAATTCTGAAATTCAAAACGTTCAAAGAATCTGATGTTCTTAAATTTCGACATTCAATCATTGCCATTTTGGAAGCCTAAAAAATCAAAAAAATTTTTTATCTACCGAAAACTGAAAAAATGGCGCCAGAAGTTGAATTCAGAAAAAAAATCAACAAACAAAATCTCGCATTTTTTTTCACTCTTTTCTTCTAAATTTTTTTAATTTTGAAACCAAATTTATTCCATTTTCAGATTCAAAATGAATCAGCAAAGGGACGCGCAGGAGCTGGAATTGAGAGCTCAAATTATTGAATTGAGAAGGGTAATTAATTTTTGAAAATGAATTTTCTAATGAATGCGATTTTACTATCTTTCAAAAATTTTTTTAAATTTTCAGAGAATCCCTGAGCTGGAAATGCAACAAAACGCTGCTGTCCCAAGGGGATTTGAACCGATTGCAGCGGTGTTCTACGAAGTGGGGTTCCAGGAGTTGGTAAGATTTTACTACTTTGTTAGATACATGATATTTTGATTTTTAACTCTCAAATTTCTAGTTTTCCGAATCCTAAATTCATTTTTTCAGCAAAGACAACGCACAGAACTCGATAATGCTGAGAGACTCTACCGAGCTACCTATCCCAATCTGTTGGAACGAATAGACATACAAGAAAACAATCATGAAGTCCAGGAGCGTTTAAACGACATTGAACGTGGAATTGATGTAAATGAACGTGCTCCTCCTCGCTTGCAACAACTCGGAGAGTTCCCACCAGATGTCCGGATAGTACCACCCAATCCGCCTGTAGTGGAACCTCGGATCGTCGGAGAAAGCCGTCGGAGAAGATGGGAAGAAATTCAAATTCAATACCCAGAAAATGGACCTTTGGAGCGTGATGGAATCCCTCTAATCCCTCAGCTCCATCTGCCTCGGCCTCCGCCAGCCGTTCGTCAGTTTCCAGTGGCCGAAGCACAAAGGAATCCGGACATCGCACTTCCACAATTTGGGACACATCAGGATTTTCTTGAACAAATTCTTGCAAGGCAAAGACGAGTAGAAGCTGCTGCACATCGAGAAAATCAAGATCCAGAAAATTTTATTCAAGTTATCCGTGCTGAAAATCGACAAAATCAAGATGAACCACGTCAAGAGGATCAAGAAGGTTCAGAAAACCGGAACCCAGAAGAGCAACGTCAAGAGGAAGGTCCAGAAAACCAAGAAGACCCTGAAAATCAACCACAAAACTAACTTAATTTTTATCATTTTGCTCTTCGAATATTATTAATCTCATTCGATTTAATCGTCTATTTTTATCACTTTCGAGTCTTTGTACTTCTATTTCTGTGTTTATTTCTGTATTTCGATTGTTGATAATTGAGCACAATAACGTTCATCTTGCTAATTATTTTTTTTTCAGAGATAAACTGGAATTTTAATAATAGCCCTTGAAAATTTCAGAATTACCAAAACTATCAAATTTTAAAACACCTGGTAGCTAAAAATTCTTAACAAATCAAAGAGTCTTAAAATTGCAAAATTAACAAAAAAAAAGTGATTGACTGGATTTTTTAAAGCTTCAAACAAAAAAATCGCAAAATTCTATAATAGAAATATTCAGAATGATCATTGATGATAGACTAGATGTCTCCAGACGTCTTTAGAACTTTTTAGAATATTTCAGAAGTGTCCATAAGCATTTAGAAGTGTTCCAAAGTATTCAGAAGTCTTCGGAAATCTACAAAAGTCCACAGAAATCTCCACAGAACTATAGGAAACTACGATCTAAGGCTTCAGAAGTCTTTCAGTTTTTTTTTTTGAAATTTCAACAAGTTTTCGGAATCCGCCAGAAACCTTCGAAGATGATATAAAGTATCCAGAAGTATCCAGCAGTACTTAGAAATCCTGAAAAGTTTTATAGTAGCCTCCAGAAGCCGATAGATGCTTCTAGAAATCTGCATACGACTATAGGAATCTGAAAGAGGTTTTTTTTTTACTTTTTTTAAAAAGTCTTTTGAAAATATACCATTCTCAGAGATAATAAGACTCTTAGAAAATTCTGAAGTTTTGAAATTCAAAATTTTGAAAACTCGAAATTTCGGAAAAAAATGTTTTTGATCTACCGAAAATTGTTGAAAATTTCGGGCGGCAGGAGTTGAGTTTAGAAAAACCTACAAACAAAAATTCCATTATTAAATTTTGTTTTTGAAATTGTGAATTGCCAACCTATTATTTTCTATTTTCAGAGTCAAAATGAATCAGCTAAATGTTGGCGAGGACGCGCAGGAGCTTCAATTGAGAGCTCGAATTATGGAATTGAGAACGGTAAGTTTTTATTTAATTTTCAAAACATTCTCACAGTCTATTATGTAATTCAAAATATTAAATTGAAAAAAAAAAGTTCTTAAAATAATTTCAGAATATACAGTCAGGACAGTAAAAAACAATATTTTCAGACAGTCCGTGATCTTGAAAGGCCAGAAAATGCGGAACTCGGAAGAGGACTGGGGCCGCTGGAAGCGTTATTCCTAGACGGATTACAGCATGGATTGGTAAGGTTTCAGAATCTTTGTTAAGAACATGAAATTTCAGAAATTTGGTGATTTTTTTTGAATCCTAAATACTGTTTTACAGAATAGAGAACGCAGAGAACTCAACAATTTGGAGAGATTCCACCGAGCTACCTATCCCAACTTGTTGGAACGAATAGACATTGAAGATGAAATACATGACTTCCAGGAGTATTTAATTGACCTAGAATATTTAATTGCTCGAAATGAACGTATTCGTCACTTGCAAGGACTCGGAGAGCTTCCACCAAATATCCCGGAAGTACCATTCAATCCGGTGGAAGAACCGCCCAATCCGCCCGCAGTGGAACCTCAGAACGCCAGAAGAAACCGTCGGAGGAGATGGGAAGAAATGCGAATGCAACACCAAGCAATGGAAGCTTTGGAGCCGCCAGCAATTCGTGACTTTCCAGTGGCTGAAGCACAGGGGAATCCGGTCATCGCACCTCAACAACTTGGGGATCAGGAGTTTGTTGAACAGTTTCAAGCATGGGAAAGACGAGCGCAAAGACAAGCAGCAGAAATGAATGCTGTTCCAGCAGACTTTATTCAAGTTATCCGTGTTGAACATCGACAAAATCAAGATGAACCACGTCAAGAGGATCAAGAAGGTCCAGAAAACCGGAATCCAGAAGAGCCACGTCAAGAGGAAGGTCCAGAAAACAAAGAAGATCCTGAAAATGAACCACAAATTCTTCTCGATGGTCGAAGACCAGCCGTTGCTGCTCCAGAGGCTCCAGTTGTAGAAGGACCTGCTCTAGAGGAGCAAAGAGAGGTTGTTGGACCAGAAGGACCACACAAAGCACAAGCAGGAGAGCAACCAGTACCAAATGTATTCTTTATTCCGCCAGAACGTCGGGTTGAAGAAGGTCCAGAAAACCAAGGAGAACCTGATAATCAACCACAAAACTAACTTAATTTTTATCATTTTTTTCTTCTAATGTTATTAATCACTTTCGAGGTAATTGTCTATTTTTTATCACTTTCATATCTTTGCACTTCTATTTTAACTACTATTTCTCTGTATTTCGATTGTTGATATCTCAGCACAATGACGTTTATTTTTATAATAATTATTTCGGAGATTAAATGAAATTTTAATATTTACATCCGAAGTACGCTATATTGACAGTATCCCCGGAAATTCCTAATTTTTTTTTTAGATACGAAATTTATACCGCAAAGTTGCAAAATTTGAAAAATTTGAAAAAAAGTTTAAATTTCCAAAAATAAGGTTTCGATGTTTTTTAAACATGGGGAAGTTTCAGGCGTCTTTAGAAATTACCCAAATCGTTTAACATTTTTCTGAAATTCTATTTTTCTTACCTGAATACCGTAAATAACTACCTTAATTATCATCCTGTCTTAAAGTTTATAGCCAGTGATGACAAATACCCAAGGGGCGGAGCCTATTTTGGGAGTATATAAGGGTCCGCATTCCAGTCATTTTTCACCCGTTCTCTCTTGACCAGCTCTTTTCTTTTCTATATTCTGTCACTATGGCCTCTATTACTGCTGCTTATGACTTCAAATATTTCCCCCGTTATGGAAAATGGACCAAGGAAATGCAAATGGAGCTGGATGAACACTCCCGTCGGATGGTTAAACTTATGAACCATGTTCAGGATTTATACAAATCAAACAGCCAAAAGAAGAAAGATCAGCAGAGAGAGGACACTGATGCTGATTGTATGATTGCTCCGGAATCTCCAGTTTTCAGTCAATCCCCTTCGACTTCTCCAGCACCAGAATCGCCATGCCAGTCGACGTCTCCACAAGTACCAGCCCATCAGGAAGCGATGCCAATGGAACAGAACTATCCACCAGTCAACTGCACCGTCTACTACTATCCAACACCTGCAGAATGCCAATACTCTCCAGTCTACCCAGGAATCAAAAACCAAGGATGTACCTACTATCACCATTAATTTGAATTTATATTCTCTCAATTGTAATTAAAACTATTTTTTTAATAATAAATAATGATTAAATTGAATTCAGTTTTTTTTGTAACAGGAAATATCACTTTATTCCAATTCTCTGAAATTCTAAAACACAAGATTGAGCAAATTCTATAAAATCCCATATGGAGAAAGAGTAAATTTTGAAATCGAAAAAATAATCCTCCTCATTCTCATTCTCACTTTGCTTTTTTGTCCCAAAAACTCGTGAGCATCCTTCTTGACTTTCTCGACAACTGTGAAACTGTTAGCACTTTTCTCTTGGAATTGAGTTAATCTCAAATTTCAAAAAATTTGAAAATTTCAAAAATTGAAATTCCGAAAATTAAAAAAAAATCGAAAATCCAAAGATTTTTAAAATTAAAATAAAAATAAAGGTTAGATTTTTTTCGCCAACAATTTATCTTAAAATTTCAATTTTTTGTCAGATTTTCAGATTTAGAAATCGAATTTTTTATTTTCAAAATTTTGGATTTTTTTTGTATTTTTTTCAATTTTCAAGTTTTTAGTTCAAAAACAAGCCAAAAAGGGGTCGGCAATAATTGAAAAACTAGGAATCTTCAAAAAATTTTGCGAATACAAAGTTTTCAATCTACTCGGCTGTCGGCTTGTAACTTCTGGCCGGAAGTTGAGGTGGTTCGGCTTTTGGACGGATCTTGGTCAGCTTTTGGTCAGAAGCTGCCCACCGCAGCAGTGGGACGAACAATGATCGGATTTTTTTGAAGGCGCTGCGTGTTATGCGGCGCGTGCTTCACTCATTGTAAATTTGTTTTCTAAACTATTTTTCTTGCCGTTTCTCTAAAAACTTTGTTTTAAAGTTGCATTCTTTCAATTTTTGGAGCATTTTTTCAGACAAGTATTTCGGAGAC